CAGACGATAATAAACTCAACTTACTAGCCTAAAATCTCCGTAGCGTGTTGCCAGGCGGCAGAAAGCATATATATAATTATAATAAAGTTACAATAAATTAAGTTAATATATAATTATATATACAGTACCTAATTTATATATAATTAATATATAATTATATGTACAGTACCTAATTTATATATAATTTATATATAATACTAAACAGACGATAGCAAACTCAATTTAGCCGCTCCGTAGCGTGGCGCAGGGTCGGAGGAAAGTAGTTCGGCTGCTCATCCACTATTGGTCCAGACTCTATCAATCTTGTCGCGAAACGACGTTATAGGAGGTACGTTATACGAAAGTTGCTACAATTTTTTCGCTACGTTATAGGAATTGTCGTTATAGGAACGTACGTTATAGGGGGGTCGACTGTACCTAATTAATATATAATTAATATATAATTATATGTACAGTACCTAATTTATATATAATACTGTACAGACAATAGCAAACTCAATTTAGCTGCTCTGTAGCGTGGCGCAGGGCAGAGGAAAGTAGTTCGGCTGCTCATCCACTATTGGTCCAGATTCTATCAATCTTGTTGCAAAACAAGTCAGTGATGATGTTTTAGGAGCTCCTTTAAACGAATGTTGCTGCAATTTTTTTGCTACGTTATAGGAATGCACGTTATAGGGGGGTCGACTGTATATAATTATAATAAAGTTACAATAAATTAATATATAATTATATATACGGTACCTAATTTGTATATAATTATATGTACAGACGATACTAAACTCAATTTACCCGCCTAAACTGTCCTTAGCATGGCGCTGGACGGCGGAAAGTAGTTTGGCTGCCCGATGTCGTTTTACGTAATTACAGGAGTTTTTTTATCATTGTTTATGGATACTGCCACAATTTTTTCGCTGTCTTATAGGAATCGTAATTATAGGAACCCGTCTTATATGGCAGTGTTCCGCAACCTTTTTCTTCTTGCGGCACACCCATGACTCACCCACGGCACACCAAAATGTTATTCCCCTCAAAAACATATGATATTCTACTATTAATAGAATTACGCAATGCCATTAACTTATTATTATTGTTATTAAACAGACATCAACACCTACCTGTGAGCAAATTAATTTTACATATAAATTTTTTAGAATACATAAAAATGCGTGGCTTGTAATAAAAATAAACAAACATCATCTTATTTCATCAGTGCTGCGGCAGAGAATGAAATACAAGCATAAGAAACACAACAACTGTGATAAAAATATATAAATAAAACTTGAAATTAACAAAATATATAAAAGTTTACGTCACACCTTTCACCATGTGACTGCACACCCGTTGCGGAACACTGTTATAGGGGGATCTACTGTATAGTCATTTTTTTTTTTGTTTTAGTTTTCTGTTGCTTTTCATTTGCCTTTTACAATTCATGATTAATAAAAATAATAAAATTTTACTTACAAATTAAATTCAGAAGAAATTTAACAAAGTTATAAACCATGGCACCGCGAATGTCTAGATCTGGCCTAGTACACCGATACCACTTGTTCATAGATGGCGCGTATAATTGAATTAAGTCAAGCAAAATTTCGAATTGGACGTATTCTAAAGCAGACATATACTGAGGTACCACTGTATATTCTTTCCAAGAGTTCTGTGAATATTAATATTTAAAAATTTATAATGTTCTAATTTAATTTTAATTTATATTATTATATTTTCTATTCTTTTTAAGTTGTGATGAGTGCCTGAAGACACCCTTTTCAGTTTACTAATATTTACTAACACTAGTTTTCAGTAAGACTGAAAACTAGTGTTAGTAAATATTTGTGGTTGCTGGATTTTTAGTTTTTGTTGTTTCATTAATCATCCAATTGAACCATTCCCATCTTTCTTGTATATGCTATGAATTGTGGTATAGCAATAAAACTTCAAAGTTGAATAATAATCAACTCCAATGTTTGATGCTGGTGCCATGCTGCACCAACTACACTGACCACAGTTTGTCTATAAATCATTGTATTGTCTTATTAACTAGTTAGTAACCTTGAAACTCCATTGCCATTGGACCATAAACTGGTCTTTATACACTAGCTGTTACAGATGATCTGTAACTTTTCCAGATGTTGAGAGATTTTATTTAAAAAGTAACTTTTATATTTTTAATTACAATATGATAAATAAAATTGTGTGTGGCACCATCTATTATGAGATTTTGTTATAAAAATTTTTATATTTTTAATTATTGTTGAATGGCAAAAACTTTAATTTTNTTTTCTGTAAACTATATTTAAAATAATTAAGTAATTTCAAGACATTTTAGTAATTATATTTTCAATTTATATTGTTATAATATATTTATTTCTCTCATTGATTTTGAAAGTTTATTATTTAAAAATGTTATATCAAAAATAACAAAAGCAAATAACTTTTCATCTGATGGTTCATTACTCAATGCTTCTAAAAACATATAAGTTGCAACTTCTAAAGCAGCAGAACTGGATAGACCACCACCAGTTGGCACAGTTGAAATAATAACAGCATCAAAAGAATAAATTGTACCTGTTAAAAGTTAAAAAAACTATCAAACTTTTTCAAAAAAGTTAAAAAACTATCAAACTAAACAAATTTTTTATACCAATTCTTTTCAATATTACAAAAATGAATAGCTTAAGTTTGCTATTTTATTGAAAAAATTGCTACATTACCTGTAAAATTTGAGATAACACCTTTTACATAATTTGCCCAAGACGGTTTACCACGGTTTAATGGATTACCAATTGATGGAATTTTAAAAGCTATAAATTTCGGATCGTCAGCTTCTTCACATAAAGTTAATATTTGGCAAAATCCAGTATTTGTTTTTTGTCCAATAATTAAAGTTCCCAATGGAAGAGCCTGTAGGGTATTTAATAAACAGCATTAGTAGAATTTGATATTTAATAAATAGTATTAGTTTATTATAAATTTCAAGTAGTGAAGTAAATTGCAAGTATAATATAAAACAAATAATATAAATATATCATTTCAAATTATTTTTTAAATATAATTTTTAAATAATATAAAGTCTCAATGTTGATTATTATTTTAATCGTATGAAATATACATTTATTACTTTAAAACTGATTAAGCGCAACATGTACAAAAATTAAAATGCATTCATTGATATTTTTAATGTAATTAAGTAAGTGTTAACATGGGAGAAAAACTTTTAAACACGACATAAATCAACTCCACCCATTTTAATTTGTAATTCTAATATAATATAACCAGAATATTCAGAATAAATAAAAAATAACCATAGGCAATACAAATCCGTCGTTATAATCCACATGTTCTCCAATCAAATTGACCCTTCCAGGGGCATATCCACCACAAACGGGATGGCTATTAAACTGTTTCCTAAATGCTTTTGTGGCTTCATCGATTAAATCTTTTAATGATCTTCCACACACATTCATATTTACGGATTATAAACGAGATCTTTAAATACGAATAAAAGATAATTCATTTAAGTTCCCTAAAAATATATATCTTTTATCAAACGTTTGTTTATCTCGATTCTCTCTCTGTGACGACACAATTACATACACCAATAATTTTGTTCTATTCCTTCTGTTTATTTTATTTTTATATACAATGAGATAATTATATTAACAAATGTACTAGTGTACACATGGTCTAGAACGTTGAAACTAACGGACTTCGCAGTACATGTAGATGCTCCGGCGCGATTTCAGCCAGCACCGGCAATTGAATCCGCTATTCTAATTAATCCCAATACTCCCCGAATCTATAATGTCAGCCTTCTATTATGTATCGTTAATTAATATATATTTTGCTTAGTCGGACTCTTTTTTATTGCCGTAGTGTATTATCGTGTCATTGTGGGCTAAAATGAATTATTAATTAATAAAGGTAGTGTCTTTTGAGTACAAAAAACGAAGAAAATTCAATTTATTCTTCATAGCGCAGCACTTCCAGACACCTGATGACTGAAATCGGTAGATATTATCCTACATTTCCCATAGATTTCGCATAAATTTCGTAGATTTAAAATTCTAATCAAACGATATAATTTTTATATATTATTTTATATAATAAAATAAATTGTTTTTATGCGTATATACTATTGTGAATATTTACAAAAAGTAAAAAAAAATAATAAAATAAATTTATTTTTTTCAAAAACAAATAGTAAAGTGGTAAATGTTTATGATCCCTTTATCACGCGTTTTTTCTTAATTTTCTTTTTAAAGAGACAGATAGAATTTTATGATCGGACGATATTTTGTTTCTGCCATCTAGCGTTCGTTTTTCGGTGAAAACAGACTATTCCTAGGTGGCGTTGAACGGAGATCGAGCGTCGGTTTGTGTTCTGCTGCGTGGGGTTGCAAGAAAAATTCAATGTCATGGTGTTTACAGGTTTGAATTTTTGTATTTGTTATCATATGATGGGTGGGTGTCGATCCACGTGAGACAGAAGGGACATATCTCCCCAATATTTATACAAATTGGCACCGATGCATTCTTATTAGGAATTCTAGTGGTTATTACAGTAGATGCCACTTAATTCGATCACTGGAATCCAATTGAAATGATAACAATATCCGGATGTTTTTGAAAAGAGCTAATGTGTTTTACCTTTCTAGTGAGCTGTAAGAAGCAGAGAAGAAAGGCATCTGAACATGTTGCTGATAACTGATAATGATTGCATGTTATCACTTATTGTCAGTCTTAATCAGTGCTTTAAATGTTAAATTTTAATCATTGTTTGCTCATAGTTAAGTATTAAAAATTTGCTGTAATTTCTTACTTCACTTAAGGCTGGTTTATAGCAGGCTCCAGCAAACAACTCTAAAATTCCAGCAACACCAGCAGCACGGAGTTCACTTTGTCACTGCTTCTTCAGATGCCAAACTCTAGACTACATTTAAAACTATCACTTTATTTTAAAAAATTAAGTACAATAGTTGTTTTACTATTCGGTACTAAAAATACTTGATCATTACTATTCAGACCCATTTCAGAACTAGTTTTTTCTTAATTTATTCATTTTATTTATTACAGCTTTATTGCAAAATCATATGTTTGCACAAATTGATATTTAGTAATTTGGGATAAAAAGTTTGCAACTAAATATTCATTCAATAGTAACTTCTTGTCAATAACTGGATAATTATTAATAAAATAACAACCTTAAAAATCCAGCAATTGCAAATACTGTATTTACTAACACTAACATTTTCAGTCTTTCTTTTTTCGGTTACTCATCACAAATTAAAAAGAACCGAAAATAGAACGAGCAATTATTTACTGTGATATCGTCACAATGCAAGGCTGCAATTTTTAGTCATATTTTTAACTTATTTCATTTAAAATATATGCTCTCTACCTCAAATTAGTACTGTAGTGTCTTATCCCTGTACATCATACTTTTCCTTTAACAATAAAGTCGTGCTGGTCTTCTATTAACTTAACCACTTTTGGGAGAAAATTTGAATTAAAATAACGTGACTTCTGATTTGCATTGGAAGTTTGTATATAGTTAATCAGAGCTGCCTGTCCCTAAGGTTTCCATATAAAGTTTCCATATATAACTCCATTCTCAAGATTAAGGAAAGAAGGATGACAGTGGGAATTTATAGGTCTACAATTTTTTCAAATTGCAGCCCAATAATATAAACTAAAATGCAATTGAAACAATTTGAATATCAAACATTCACATATTCAATATATTGTTCAATATTTTGAATGTACTGTACAGTGGAATCTCGGTATATGACCTTAATCCATTCCTGATGTTTGGACTTATACCGAATAGGACGTATACTAAACCAACCTTTTCCATAAGAAGTAATGTAAAAATGATTAATCCGTTCTCATGTAAAAAAAATGGCTGGCTTTAAACACCTCGCTTTCCTGGCTAGTTCCTGCTTGATTTTTCATGAGATCAGCATGTATCTTTTTAGCTTTCTCGCAAATAATTGTTTCTGATACACTGTCGCCAGCACCCTGTTTTTTCAGTTATCCAAAGTAAAAGCAATTTCTCAACATGATCTAATGTCTTCGATCTCTGTTTAGAAATTGATTTAACACCTTTCGCAACATTAGCAGATTTAATAATGTCTTTATTTTTCATGATTATCGATATCATCGTTCTCGGAATACAGTATGCAACAGCTAAATCTCAAACACGCATGCCACCTTCATATTTCTCAATAATCTTTTTTGTCAGTTCCATTGTGATTACAGTCGATCCCCTATAAGACTGTAGATACATTCCGTTCTTTATGAATCAATTTTGTAGGAATCACAGCCCGACACGTGTGAAGTTTACGGACTACGGCTGTTTGAAAGGTTTTCTTCCATAAAATTAATCGATTCTAGACTAATCCAACTCAATATTTCCAAAATACGTATATTTTTTTTTTGGAAATAATCTGTATAAACTACGCTATAAACAAAAAATTGTAGGATTACTTACCGAGTGTGTACTATTCGACGTCGCCGTTGCTCAAGCTTGTTTTCATCGCGGAACAGCGCAGCAAACCGCGGCCGCGATTTCTGATGTTATTTTTCTGCAAAAACTTCGTTGAACTTTGGAGACATCATTAATATAAATAATTTTAATCACCGTTGAATAAGAAATGTTTCTTTCACAAGAAATGTATAAAATTACAATGCTCTATTAGACTTATGGTACCTAATTTACATACTGTACAGACGATAGCTCGCCTAAACTGTCCGTAGCGTGGCGCTAGACGGCGGAAAGTATATACAGTAGACCCCCTATAACGCTTAGATACGTTCCATGTTAATTGAATTTTACGTTATAGGAATGATTAAATACATGAGCCAATCGCAGCCCGATAGGTGGGAANTCTTTTAAACAGTATCCAATAATCCAGATAGTGTATTGGATACCCAGGAACAAAAATGGGTACCTGACATTCAGTATTAGTTATGATGCTATTGTTTCTATATCTGTAATCATAATATAAATCAACAGCTTTCCAATAATATCTTTGAAACATTTCCTAATGTAAGTAAAAATTTTAGTATTATATTTATTAGAGATGGATGAATATTATCTGTGAATACTAGAAAGTATTCAAAATTTTGAGATCTTAAATATAACATAATAAAGAAGAAATTTGAATACTGAATACCTGCAATATCACCATATGTAAGACAGTAACTCTTCAGCACCTTCAGTTTAATTTGCAACAAGAAACAAAGCAAATTGAATCCTGAATGTGTTCAAATGTTTATTTCCTTAAATAAAAATATGCAGTAAGTGAGAATGAGAACAATTTTTGATTGATATATTGTAGTTAAGATAAGAGTACCTAAAAAACCTGTTATAAAACTTAAAATCAAAATAGAAAATTTGAAGCTTTATTTCTTAGAATTTAGTAGATTGTTTTTCTTTTGATTTTTTTGTAATTTAATATATTGAAATAAATAAAATATGTTAAATAACAAACATTAAATGAAACTATTAATTGAATGAGTTATATAAGACAATCAAGTTCACTAAGTATTCAGATTTAAATATTTCAGATCTGGTCAGCATTTGAATTGATATTCAAATTTGAAAAAAATATTATTTATCCATCTTTAATATTTATTATATATTGATAATTAACTTTAAATATTTTGTAATAAAATGGCTTGAAAAATTGTCACCAGTAATTATTAAATACAGTTTATAAATGTTTTTTTTTTTTTTTTTAAATAATTTCTAAAATATTAGTATAGNATTTTATTTAAAAAGTAACTTTTATATTTTTAATTACAATATGATAAATAAAATTGTGTGTGGCACCATCTATTATGAGATTTTGTTATAAAAATTTTTATATTTTTAATTATTGTTGAATGGCAAAAACTTTAATTTTGAGGATAGTGATTAATTTCATAAAAAATTGTAAATGCTAATAATGAATAACATCTTCATTAAGTCCAACCCCTCTTGAGATAAGATACATGATATTCATCTATCTCTCACTCCTTGACCTTTAACCATCAAAATTTAATAACATCAATGCCCCTTATACACAATTTAACATGTCAAATTTAATTTCTTAAATTAACTTTATTAATTATCCTGTATTGAGATATTAAGCAAAATAAATGCCAAAACACATACACACAGAATTTTTTGGGTTCAGGAGGGCTTAAAACATGGAAATTTGCAAAAAACTCAGAGGGTCAAATTTATTAAGATTCCAATACTTTTCCACATATTTATTTCTTTATCCTGCTTAATGTTATCAATGTAGAGAGGTTCCAAAGTGATTACAATAAGATTCCACTGTATAGTATTCCACAGAGTATATACAGTATATGTTTAAGTGGACACCCTATATATTTGTATATACATAGTGTCTACCTTAAACATCTGTCCAAGGGCAAAAAAGATATTTCCAGAATTGCACGAGTGTATGTATGTGGTGTATGCTTGTTCTAGAATTAAAACAACTGATACTTAAATATCTCTCCAGTGACAAAAATTAATTCATTTAAAAAATGCTCTGATGATGATAAATTAATACATTCAGTAAAACAAAAAAGAATGTGACAATTGCATAGTAATTCATTCACAGCAGCTCTTCCCAGACAGTGGCTTTCAGAGCGGTTTGGCAACCACTGGATAGGACATCATGGCCACCATGTTCTCCAGACTTCTCCCTCTGGATTTTTTCCTGTACAGTCATTTAAAAGCATCAGTTTATAATGCAAACCCAGCAATGCTGCATGATGGTGAACTAATATTAGGAATATTAGGATTAGTGATATTAGGAATGCTATGTGCCATTCATAACACCACACTCAAATGTCTATACCTTTATATTGCTGCTAAAGGTTTTGAACATGTCACTAACAAACTAAAGCTTACTTTTTGCATGCACAACATGCTTACACTCCTGCAATGCCGAAAGATCCCTTTTGTCCCTAGACAGATGTTTAAGGAAACACACTATATATACAGTATATATATAGTAATATTTTAGAATGTAAAGAATCATTTTAAATATTTTACTAATGATTTGAAAATATTATTTAATACATGTATAATCTTGTAATGTGTATTTATTTGATTTATGTAGATTTCTTATTAAGATGAAAAACATAGAAGTAAATGTTAATGGCTGAAGTTCATGTTATTGGACAACTTATTGGAGCTAGTGGATTTCCCGACAATAGATTATTCTGTAAATGGGGAATACATTACAGTGAGTAATGATGATTATTCTTGAATTTCAAAAATTGCATTTGAAAATTTGATTTGATAAAATTTTACAAAAGTAATAGTAAAAATATAAACTTTCAAGCATTGATTTTTTTTCTATACAACATATTTGAATTAATATTATTCTGTTCCACTAAGATACAATATTATATAATGTTCAGTCCATGTTTTGTGAATTCATCCTAGTTACTCTAGAACAGTGATTCCCAAACTTTTTTGAGCCACTGTCCTTATGGAAGAAACCTGATTTTTGGGCTATTTTAAAATCATTTATGAATCCAATGCCCCCTAACCTATTTTCTTTTGTGTGACTTGGAAATATTCTTAGAAAAACTTTTTTATGAACCTCATACATACCATACATTGTGGGAACCATTAAACACAATGTTTCTTCTTACTAATTTTAACAGAGGAAATGGAAAGGTTGTCAGTGACCCCAACCCTTGCCTATAGTTACTGTTCAGTCCCTGCCTCAAGTGCACACCTGCCTCTCATTTGCTTCTTTTCACCTCCTAGATTTACTTACTGCCCAATTTGGGAATCACTGCTCTAGAATATCTCAGAAAATATTCTATATATCTTAATGTAAAAGATTAATGAAAATAAATAAATTTTAAATACTATTAAATAAAAAGAATTTGTTTAGTAATAAATATCATGACATAATTCATTAAAATTCATGTCAAAATGATTATTAACAGATGTGAAAAATTTTATACTACATATATTTGAATATTATCATTTTATGTTTTATAATTACATATAAATCAAGTCCAGCATATAAACAAATTATACTGCCAGATTTTAATCAGGCTATATTATAAAGATATTACATAATTTAGACTAAAGATAGGTAGTTAAGCCCAGCAGCATTAATGGCTTAACTATCTACCTTTAATCCAAATTATGCCATATTATAGCCTGATTATGTTTTATGTTAATGAAGCTGTTGTTTATATATTTGAACTTAACATTTTACCTTGGTTTGGTACTAGTGTACTGCAGCAGACAGCCAGCATTTCCACTTTATTAAAGGTATGTTTTGGTGTGACCAACTGTAGACTTGAGACAATCATATTGTATTTTTCTGATGCACAATTTGCACAATTAGATTTGATTCTTGACTTGCATAATTTTTTTACAGTCATTCAGATGCATTCATGAATGATTTTAAAATAGCCCAAAAATCAGTCCTCAGTCAGGCACCACTGGAGCATATTTATTGTATTTTTCATATGTTACTGCCATGCAGAAAACTGATTGTTTCATGAGAGAAATGGAAGTGTGTCCTATCAGGCTAGAACAGTTTTCACCTCTGTGGTACTTTGTAAGAAATGGCAACAGTTGAGATTTCAAACATTTCTGTATAGGTATAGACCCTGATTATTTCTTTTGACTTAGTGATGATAGACTTTGAGAGCTCTGTTTTGGTCTAGGCAGCTAGAAAAGAATATATATTAGGAACTTGATCATTGTTTGATTTGCTGTTTGGAGGGTCAGCAACATTGATTGGATAAAGCTTGTTGATCACTACATTCAATTCAAAGTACTTCTCATTATCCAACACCACAAATTTCCCTTGAAAACTGCAGGCAAGCATTTGACACTGCTTTTTTTCAGTGGTTTCTTGTTGAGATGTTAAACAGGCACATTTTACTTTGTGATGGAAGTGATGCCAAACTTGGTCTTCAATGTGTAGCTGACATGTGTCTGACCCAACATAAGCAAGGTGCTTTAACAAATTGAGTTATTTTTCTCAATCACATCAGTCCTAAACTATGGTGACGTCTTGACATTTAATAGTGTGCATGGCCTCAGCCCTTATTTTTGCTTAATTTTTATTTTTTTTAGTGCACTATGTCTAAATAAATTCTGATTTGCAGAATATTACAATGTCTAACTATTATTGGACAGTTTGGATTATAGCTAATTTTCAGAGGATACCAGATTACTGGACATCCTGGATTATTGGGTGCTGATTAATGAACTACTGTACCTTTAAAATGATTTAGAATTTGGAGGAATAGAAAAATTCCTTTCCTCCAAATTCTAAATCATAAAATGAAATATAACTTACTTTATTTGTTTTATTTCTTAGCATATTTGATAAATGCTGGCAATATTTCTATATAAATTTACACAAATAAGTGAAAACTAGTTTTATTTCAAATATATAATTTTATCAAGTTATGAAAAATTTTCAAATCTTTAAAGAGAAATTCAAAAGCTTTTAATGAAGTATTATTAAAATAAGCAAAAATGAAATTCTCTCTTGTGGCTTGATATCTGTCAAGATACACAATATAATTGAATTTCACTCTCAGTGAACCATTATATGAGAAGCTGTCAAATTTATCTATTCTTTAGAGAATTTTAATCCACTAATAGGTTATGTCACTTCAACTACTTGTTATACTATTGTAGTCTCTTTTATTCGTCATTTAACATTTTGATTTTTACAATTGACAAACCATCTAATATAATTTAATTTAAAAAACAATGAATAAATCAGCAAAATAAATAAAGCTTAGCACCACGATGTAAGAATACAACACACTATTGTTTGTTTAGGTCAATCAAAGAAACACTTTCAGCATTTCTCAAACCATCTTTAATTAATATATAAAAAACAGTATTTGGTGGATTATTGGGTGCTGGGATTTCAACATTTAAAATATTCAAAAATACAATAAATTAACATTAGGGATTGCATTACAAGTGATTTCAATAAAATTAGAAGATGTAATAATTTTCACTGGACTACTTATAAATATTTATTTGTGTACACTTTCACATATATTTATATTTTTATATATTAAAAAAATTTACTTAAGTATTCTNATTTAATAAATTAAGGGGGTCGGAAATCGCAATTAAATTTTTAATTTTTTAAAAATATTTAAAAATATACCGCCAGCTAGTATTCACCCTACTTTAAACCCTTGTCCTCCCGAGACGTCTATGAGAATGTCCCGGGAAATCCAACATCAGATATTCTCAAGGTTATCCAGCTGTGTAAACAATGAATGACTTATCAGTGTCAAATTTCGCAGAAAGGCAAGACAATGGAAAATAAAGTTTGAAGCTTTTTTTTCAAAATTAACAATTTCTTTCGTTTTATTTTTTTCAGTTTTAAGTATTTTTTATGTTTAATTAAAAATTCCGTTAAAAAAATTTGTATTGCAAGTGGTTAAAGACATAGAAGTGTCTAATTTATTTATTTAAACTGTAAAACTAGTTTACATTATTTATCTTTTAAACTATTACTTCATAGTTTTTTGCAATTTTTAAAGTATTATGTTATAATGCTATTCTGGATAGTTTGGCAATTTGTTTCTTAGCCTGTAATGCCTAGAACAGAATAGTGATTCTTGTTAAATAACACTTTAATCAACAAAATGGAACACATTTATTTGAATGTGAGTGCTTGCACTGGTCACTTTTTAATCGTAGCAACAATAAAATTACAGTATGCTGCTCTATTTTCCAAAATAGATGGAAGAGAAATCATAGTAATTGTTTAGTTTCCACTCACTGATGAGTCAGCATCTAAACAATCATTAGTATACTAATTTTTCATTTGGAGTGAAAACTTAAAAATGACTGGTAATTTACCAGTAAACCAGTAATGTTTTGAAAATTTACCATTTTATAGGTAATAAAAAAGTCAGTAAGTTTTTAACCTTTAATATACATGCATAATGAATTTAATCATTAACAAATGTAAATGCAATATTACATCCACAACACACCGTAACTTCTAAAACTTACTTCCAACTTAAACCAAAAACAGTGCTTACATCGATTTTATCGTCTTTCACTAATGTTTTCGAACCGAAAGGTTCGAAAACATTAATATTTTTCGTTAATATACTTTAACATTAATATAATTATTAGCATTAAATTCACTAACGTTTTTGAATCGAAATGTTCAAAAACGTTAGTGAAAGACAATAAAGTCGATGTAAGCACTGTTTTTGGTTTAAGTTGGAAGTAAGTTTTAAATGTAAATGCATAACAAATTTAGAGTAATAAGACACTATTTATAGACCAGAGTTTAAATTAGGATTTCAAACTCATCTGCCAAATGATCAACATGCTAAAAATGTTATATGTATATAATTGCATAACAAATGTAAAAATTTACAATATTAAAAATTAAATTGTTTACACATTAAAACTTTAAACTTCACAATATAACAAAATATTTATTACAATATAATTATGTATTTAGCATTACAAGGATTTCAAATTGTTTTATTATGAATGTTTATTATAAGTTTTTTGTTATTGATGTTTTTAATTTTAATAAATTAATTTAAAAATAATTTTACTTCAGATGGAGGATGGAAAGTTCTAGAAGGTTTAACAGAAGGACAAACTCAAATTGATAATCCACAAAATGAAGATACTGCTTACTGGTGTCATCCTATAGATATTCACTTTGCTACTAGGGGGCTTCAAGGTTTGGAAAATAAAAATTAATTCAAATAAATGTCAATTTATATTTTATATTAGAAGATAAACTGTTTTCTTAAATTTTATACTATTTTTTTATATAGGCTGGCCAAAATTTCATTTTCAAGTTTGGCATCAAGATAGTTATGGTCGTGTTGAACTCTGGGGATATGGCTTCTGTCATGTACCAACTTCACCTGGATTTCATCAATTAGAATGTGTTACATGGCGTCCAACTGGTTCTATTCATGAAGAAATAAGTCATTTTTTTCTTGGTGGTGGTTTAGAATTAAAACATTCTGATATCATTTATAATGGTTTAGATCGCTATCATTTACAAACAGTAGCTATGGGTAAGGTGCATTTGGAGATAAATATCTTAGTAAGAAATTTTGCAAAATATGGAGTTGAAATGTAATTTTTAAAACACAACATATTTGTTAACAATGTTTAATTTACATTGTATTTATTATTCACAATCTTTTCTACATTTGAAATTGATTATATGGTGGATTTTTATACTTAAAGGACATAGTTTTACAAATGAAAATACTTCATTATATTATAATATCACAGCTCCATATAAAGAAAATGCTACAGAATTAAATTATGAAAATATAACTTTAAATGATACATTATATAACAATACACTAATCTTTGTCAATGTGACAATTGATACTGAAAATTACACAGCATTATATAATGAAACTCCATTTTCAAATGAAAGCTTTTCATTTAATTCTAGTTTTGAAGAAAATTCAACTGGATTTAGTTTTGAAAGTAGCACAATAGATTCAAAAGTTGAAGAAACTCAGGAAAAATCTACATTTCCTACTTGCAGTTGTGATTTAACTGCTTTTAGTTGTGATGTTAATTGTTGTTGTGATGAAGATTGTAATGAAATAGATAAAAGTTCATTTACTGAATGTGCATCTTCTGAATTAAATGAAGTAGAAGAAAAATACTGTGTTTCTAAAGAAACTGTTTATGTTGATAATATTAAAAGTGAAAAATTAATAGAAAGAAATGGCTTATTATGTATTATTAAAGATAATTTTGAGGAACGACATAAATATTTGGATCAATCCAGTATAGGATCTATAGAAGAATTTAAAAAAAAAGTACCACATCAAAGTTATTCATGGGTGTTAAATATACATAATAATGAAGAGAACTTTGAAGACAGATTTAAAGCTGGAAAACCTGTGTATATAATCTCAAGGAATGAAAATAAAATTAAACAATGGTGTAAGTAAAAATTTTAGTATTATATTTATTAGAGATGGATGAATATTATCTGTGAATACTAGAAAGTATTCAAAATTTTGAGATCTTAAATGTAACATAATAAAGAAGAAATTTGAATACTGNTCATCTTATCTTTATAATCTAAATATAATTATCATTTTAAATAAAATAAAACTTATTGTTATATTAAATTATATTTAAAAATATATGACAATGATTAATTACTTTCTAAATCTTGCATTGTTGCATCCCGAAGAGAGGTTTTACCAATTATCTTTACTGCATCCTCACAACATTGTCGTCTTTCAGGATATTCACTACCAGTTAATACATGATGAACATTAGAATTTGTTATCAACACTTGCACATCTGGATCAATGAAAGGAACTAAGGTTGATTCCACCACCATTTAATTTTAGGTATCAGTTTATCTTTATANATTGTTTATGGATACTGCCACAATTTTTTCGCTGTCTTATAGGAATCGTAATTATAGGAACCCGTCTTATATGGCAGTGTTCCGCAACCTTTTTCTTCTTGCGGCACACCCATGACTCACCCACGGCACACCAAAATGTTATTCCCCTCAAAAACATATGATATTCTACTATTAATAGAATTACGCAATGCCATTAACTTATTATTATTGTTATTAAACAGACATCAACACCTACCTGTGAGCAAATTAATTTTACATATAAATTTTTTAGAATACATAAAAATGCGTGGCTTGTAATAAAAATAAACAAACATCATCTTATTTCATCAGTGCTGCGGCAGAGAATGAAATACAAGCATAAGAAACACAACAACTGTGATAAAAATATATAAATAAAACTTGAAATTAACAAAATATATAAAAGTTTACGTCACACCTTTCACCATGTGACTGCACACCCGTTGCGGAACACTGTTATAGGGGGATCTACTGTATAGTCATTTTTTTTTTTGTTTTAGTTTTCTGTTGCTTTTCATTTGCCTTTTACAATTCATGATTAATAAAAATAATAAAATTTTACTTACAAATTAAATTNAATTTACCATTTTATAGGTAATAAAAAAGTCAGTAAGTTTTTAACCTTTAATATACATGCATAATGAATTTAATCATTAACAAATGTAAATGCAATATTACATCCACAACACACCGTAACTTCTAAAACTTACTTCCAACTTAAACCAAAAACAGTGCTTACATCGATTTTATCGTCTTTCACTAATGTTTTCGAACCGAAAGGTTCGAAAACATTAATATTTTTCGTTAATATACTTTAACATTAATATAATTATTAGCATTAAATTCACTAACGTTTTTGAATCGAAATGTTCAAAAACGTTAGTGAAAGACAATAAAGTCGATGTAAGCACTGTTTTTGGTTTAAGTTGGAAGTAAGTTTTAAATGTAAATGCATAACAAATTTAGAGTAATAAGACACTATTTATAGACCAGAGTTTAAATTAGGATTTCAAACTCATCTGCCAAATGATCAACATGCTAAAAATGTTATATGTATATAATTGCATAACAAATGTAAAAATTTACAATATTAAAAATTAAATTGTTTACACATTAAAACTTTAAACTTCACAATATAACAAAATATTTATTACAATATAATTATGTATTTAGCATTACAAGGATTTCAAATTGTTTTATTATGAATGTTTATTATAAGTTTTTTGTTATTGATGTTTTTAATTTTAATAAATTAATTTAAAAATAATTTTACTTCAGATGGAGGATGGAAAGTTCTAGAAGGTTTAACAGAAGGACAAACTCAAATTGATAATCCACAAAATGAAGATACTGCTTACTGGTGTCATCCTATAGATATTCACTTTGCTACTAGGGGGCTTCAAGGTTTGGAAAATAAAAATTAATTCAAATAAATGTCAATTTATATTTTATATTAGAAGATAAACTGTTTTCTTAAATTTTATACTATTTTTTTATATAGGCTGGCCAAAATTTCATTTTCAAGTTTGGCATCAAGATAGTTATGGTCGTGTTGAACTCTGGGGATATGGCTTCTGTCATGTACCAACTTCACCTGGATTTCATCAATTAGAATGTGTTACATGGCGTCCAACTGGTTCTATTCATGAAGAAATAAGTCATTTTTTTCTTGGTGGTGGTTTAGAATTAAAACATTCTGATATCATTTATAATGGTTTAGATCGCTATCATTTACAAACAGTAGCTATGGGTAAGGTGCATTTGGAGATAAATATCTTAGTAAGAAATTTTGCAAAATATGGAGTTGAAATGTAATTTTTAAAACACAACATATTTGTTAACAATGTTTAATTTACATTGTATTTATTATTCACAATCTTTTCTACATTTGAAATTGATTATATGGTGGATTTTTATACTTAAAGGACATAGTTTTACAAATGAAAATACTTCATTATATTATAATATCACAGCTCCATATAAAGAAAATGCTACAGAATTAAATTATGAAAATATAACTTTAAATGATACATTATATAACAATACACTAATCTTTGTCAATGTGACAATTGATACTGAAAATTACACAGCATTATATAATGAAACTCCATTTTCAAATGAAAGCTTTTCATTTAATTCTAGTTTTGAAGAAAATTCAACTGGATTTAGTTTTGAAAGTAGCACAATAGATTCAAAAGTTGAAGAAACTCAGGAAAAATCTACATTTCCTACTTGCAGTTGTGATTTAACTGCTTTTAGTTGTGATGTTAATTGTTGTTGTGATGAAGATTGTAATGAAATAGATAAAAGTTCATTTACTGAATGTGCATCTTCTGAATTAAATGAAGTAGAAGAAAAATACTGTGTTTCTAAAGAAACTGTTTATGTTGATAATATTAAAAGTGAAAAATTAATAGAAAGAAATGGCTTATTATGTATTATTAAAGATAATTTTGAGGAACGACATAAATATTTGGATCAATCCAGTATAGGATCTATAGAAGAATTTAAAAAAAAAGTACCACATCAAAGTTATTCATGGGTGTTAAATATACATAATAATGAAGAGAACTTTGAAGACAGATTTAAAGCTGGAAAACCTGTGTATATAATCTCAAGGAATGAAAATAAAATTAAACAATGGTGTAAGTAAAAATTTTAGTATTATATTTATTAGAGATGGATGAATATTATCTGTGAATACTAGAAAGTATTCAAAATTTTGAGATCTTAAATGTAACATAATAAAGAAGAAATTTGAATACTGAATACCTGCAATATCACCATATGTAAGACAGTAACTCTTCAGCACCTTCAGTTTAATTTGCAACAAGAAACAAAGCAAATTGAATCCTGAATGTGTTCAAATGTTTATTTCCTTAAATAAAAATATGCAGTAAGTGAGAATGAGAACAATTTTTGATTGATATATTGTAGTTAAGATAAGAGTACCTAAAAAACCTGTTATAAAACTTAAAATCAAAATAGAAAATTTGAAGCTTTATTTCTTAGAATTTAGTAGATTGTTTTTCTTTTGATTTTTTTGTAATTTAATATATTGAAATAAATAAAATATGTTAAATAACAAACATTAAATGAAACTATTAATTGAATGAGTTATATAAGACAATCAAGTTCACTAAGTATTCAGATTTAAATATTTCAGATCTGGTCAGCATTTGAATTGATATTCAAATTTGAAAAAAATATTATTTATCCATCTTTAATATTTATTATATATTGATAATTAACTTTAAATATTTTGTAATAAAATGGCTTGAAAAATTGTCACCAGTAATTATTAAATACAGTTTATAAATGTTTTTTTTTAAATAATTTCTAAAATATTAGTATAGTCATACCTCAGTTTTCGAACATAGTTTGTTACTAAAAGTAGTACTAAAACTAAAACAAATTTTCCCATAATAAACAATATAAAATGGATTAATCTGTTCCTTACCCTCCAATATAAAATTTTTTTTTACTTTTTTAGCTGTATTTATTTCATGCTAAAAATGCTTACAAATGCAATGTAATATTGTATATAATAAGTTTATGTTGTTTAATTTGACTTATGTAGTACCTTTAAAGGCTAATTCTTTGATTCCATTTATATTACATGAATGTCAATTAATGTGATTTTTATTTATTTAATTTAAATTCAACTGCAGTACATACTAAAAAAACAGAAGATAATTTTTCCGCATGCACATTGAAATCTAAATAGCAATGTCATCAATGATTTGTATCTTGATGTCTAATGACTCATGTAATCTCATTGCCACTAACTTCTGAATCAGTAGTCCTGTTGCTGATTAGTTGGGTTATCGACTTTCTTTAACATAGAAAGAATTTTTAAAATATATATAAAAAACAATAATAATTTAATTCTTTTCTAGAGGCCTATTGAAAGTTTTCTAAGAGGCTTGCTAGAAGTTCAGTGTGAGAGACTCTGGGGCCAGCTCTTGGGGCATTTAATACTCTGAGACTTGCAGTTTTTCTGACTTGAAAAATTTGTAGTAATTTACATTTGTGAGATCGAGCACTTGATTTTGTGTGGATTTAAAGAAAAAGTTAAGTGTAATTCTCTGTTGTGATCATTAAGGAAACATTGGGATGAAAAAGGATTGAATGACAACCTGTTCTATCAACAACTGGAAGAGAAATATAACATCCGAGCATTAGATTAAACAACTGGCTGTCAAAGGAGGAAAAAGTCAACTATCCAACAAGTAAATAGAAGGGAATCAAACCAAATATGGTCATGACAGCTCCATATGACGACGTCTTAACATCATCAACAGCTCACTTGTGACAGCACGCCTGCAGATTCGTAGCTAAACATCTGAGATTACCTGATGGGTGATCTCAGATGTTTTTCCAGGCAAAATCGGATAAAAGGGAGGCTAGAACTCGGATTGAGGTGGACTTCAGCAGATGCCATATACCAGCGAACATCTCCAGCCACCCTGTTCCCAGTGGACATTCCCCGAGACCATACGGAGGGACATCTTCACCCAAGGTTCTAACTCATTGTATTCCAGAATGGACACTCTTGGAAGCGACTGCCACAGCTTCCGTTCAGCTCTCAATCTCCATAAGAAGACCGACAACGATCCGACACTACAAGAGGTCAATGAATCTGGTACACTCAGAGGTATTTTGTTAGACTTATATAAACTCTCTTTCTCAAGTAGTGTATATAGAAGCGTAAGAACAGGACGGATGGCCCAAGCGATATACTTGGTCATTTAATTAACTCTTTTGTCATGTTGCTTTAATAGTGTATTGTAATCTTAGGTTTAGCTAGATATTAAATGTATGTTATGTTTATAAACATGACTGCCTGTCATTGCTCAGAACCTATCGACTTGCACACTGACTTCCCCACTCAATAATTTAGACCCTCCTATTGTGAACAAAGGTTGCTTTGTTCACAATTTGCAAGTTAGGACATGTTTAACTTTATCCTAACTGGTGTCAGCATCCTAACGTTGGCAGGATCTCGCAATCCCATTGACAATTCATCGAAGAGCCATCCAGTGATGAGACGGGTTTTACCAACCAATACCGATTAAGTGGTCATTAGGGATTGCCCCTTGGCCCCTGGCTAATCTCACACATTTTATAATTCATTAGAATGAATGTTCAATCAAAAACAGCTAAATAGATTAACAAACATTTTCTGTAATTTAATTATTTTGCTTGTTTATGATTTTTTTCTTTATACATGTGATCTTTTAAACAGTATCCAATAATCCAGATAGTGTATTGGATACCCAGGAACAAAAATGGGTACCTGACATTCAGTATTAGTTATGATGCTATTGTTTCTATATCTGTAATCATAATATAAATCAACAGCTTTCCAATAATATCTTTGAAACATTTCCTAAGAAAAAAAATATCTAGTTAAATTTTTTTGTATTGTATATATAGGGTATGTACATAATATTTTAATTATATTTTTCTCTATTTTAATGAGTCTGTTTCAATTAAAATTAACTAAATCATATTGATACTTGAATGATAAATTTTACATTTATAAGAGAATGTAATGAACGTTAATAATTCATAGTCATTGAAATCTGTAAAAAAAAAATGTAATGCTCTCTCCAAAGATAAATTACTACATGTATATTTTATATACTAGGCATGCTCCATTAAAGAGTCACTGATATGGTACATAACACTGTAAGACTGGTGTCATGAAAATAATATATATTGGTTGCTGCTAATCAGGTTAAATTTATTTAATATGTGGACATTGATGTAATGCAATTTATCTATTCTAACATAATATCTTTATGATTTTTGAAAGGGTAACTGATGTTATCTAAGCTTTTCACTAAAATCTCTGAATAGTAAGATAAGTTGCATAAGTAAAATCACATATTTGAGAGCCATATACAGCACTATTAGTATATACCAGTGTTTCTCAATGGGGCGATATTGCCCTATGTGGGCATTTTTCCATGTTCAGGGGGCAATTAGTAACAATTTATATTTTGGGGACGAAAAACAATTTTCTGGGTGATATAGTAAAACGTTATATTAAAAATAATTAGATATTTTATTCGTTATATTGTACAATAATTAAACAAATAACATTATACTAGTTACTAGTCTATTCAATGCAGCACGAATTTGGCGTTAGCCTTGTCCCTCGGCATCGGAATTTTATAGTGAAGGGGCGATACTACGTAACGGTTTTATTGAAGGGGACGACGATTCGTTAGAGGTTGGGAAACATTGGTATATACTAATAAAATGTTTTTGTCAATTTTAAGAATGTTAAAAGTATTGATTCAATTATATTTTTTATCAATAATAATTTGCATTTTTTCTTATTAAGGGTTACCAGCAAAATCATTTAATGGTGATTGTAAGGCAACGAAAGTATCCCGATACATGATAGACGAGAAAGTCACCTGCCGACAAATCATACATAATAGTAAACAAGCTTGTTTGAAAAATAAATGGTTAAATGCAAGAACTTTTTACAAAGACTTTTATTTTTATATTCATTCTGAATTAAATAATGATCAAATAAATGTAACAAATATAAACTTTACTATATCAAAAAATGAATCTAATTTAGATTTATGTATTTATGGCAATTCTTGTATTCCAGTCACTCCAGCAGAAAACTATATTTGTAGAGATTTTAATGGAATTTCTCAAAATTGTTCTCTGGTTAAGAGAGAGATTCTTTCACCCAAGCCTGGAAATAATGATTTGTGTTTAAATGTAGTTGTAAAGGTTGAATATAATATTATACATGATGGAGTCAATGGAATTCAAGAAGTTATATTTAATTGTGAAACTGATACATTAAACCTTACAAAAGGTATATTTACTCAACAATTTGTTGTGAATTATATATGGAAGAATAACAGAACTGTTTTCAGAAGAAGTGGAAACCCTGGTTACATAATGGGTCAGCCAATATTAGCTGGAAGTTTAGTAAAAACATTTACATCAAAACCTGTTATACTATTAAATTCTGATTCTGACTGGCTTACAATAATGGGTAAACAATCCAATGGTTATTGTTCACCTAAAAATGAAGATAGATTATCTGTTAAATTTGGAGAAAATTTAAGAACTGGTTGTCTTTACAAAATTATTTACAATAATAATAATGCAATGAACTGTTACTATATGCAGAAATTAGTCATGGATGTGTTAAATGGTTTAAATTCACCCGATCACGTGGGAGTTTTTGGAAATGCAGATATTCATAATCTCGGCGACTGGGTCAAAATACATAGAGAAGGAGAGCCTACTTCTGATTCTGATGATCAAAGTGATAATTTGTGTTCAAATATCATTCTTGGGGCAGATATTAAAATTGCTTATGCAAATATAGGATCGTTAGATAATCCACAACCAAAGATAATTGGTATTATTTATCAATACTCAATGCCAGAATATATACATTTGCCATGTTTTGATTCGGCATGTAATAGCATGAATATGCATCTAGTGGAACTGAAAACCTCAGTTTCCTTTTATGATGTATCTAAATCCGTCCATCCCATGTATGCCGAAATCCCAATAATGAAGATTAGTTTTCCTCACGAATTCTTTTATCCTTTTCTTTCTGGATATTCTGGATCTAATGCAAACATGATTTTTTGTAATTTGTTGTTAATTGTATCAATATATTTTATTTGTTTGTTTGTGATTTATCTTTAAATATTAATATGTATGTATATTTAATGAACATCAAAGTATCTGCATATGTCAAGTGCCATTTAGAACATATTTATATTGTTACTTTGCACAAATTTATACAAAGATATTTTACACAAAATACTATACAGTATATGGCAAATTTAATTTTTTAATGAAATGGAAATTTATATGAAACAATGTAATATTTGTATTAAAATAAAGTCACAAATGCATTTTGAAATTTAATCTAGTGACTTAATTTCATTTAAATCATCGCTTTGTAAAAAATACTAAACATTAAAAAAAATATTTGTCACAAATGTATTTATATTTTATATATTAAAAAAATTTACTTAAGTATTCTTTTCAAATATCAAACATGATTCAACTTGCTAGTTAAAGAATTTAACATTTTTATCAAAGATTCATCAATGAAAATCCACCAGTGGTTGGTAATATATAAATATTTAATTCCCAAGAAACTTTACTATTTGCATTTTAGAAGATAAATGTTGTAGCTCTAGTCTTTAATAAAATTTGTTTTCCAATGCCAAACAATTATCAAACAGAAATTTCAGTTGAACATTGCCATTGGAGTACAGTACCTCGTATAGTTTTGTTTTGCACAGGTACTGCATAAAAATTAAATTCCCCATAAATTTGTACTTCTAAGTAGTCCCAGATTGCTTAGAAATTTATGCAACCATTTACAGTTAACAGAAAGATATCAAAATGTATTTAAAACATTCATTATAGTAAAAACATAAAATAACATTATTAGTTCTACATTTCTGAATATACAGAGCTAAATTTTATTATACTATGTTGAGTACATCAATTGAGAAAATACAGGCAAGCCAGAGCATTCACTGTAGTGAATGCACTAGCCCTTGCTAGAAAAAGTAGAGTAAATTGATTATTACAAATATTTCTGTTTTTGTTCTTATTTTTATTTATGATTATCTAAAACAGTTTATCAGTGTACTTAATTTTTTTTAAAAATTATCAAGTACTTAATTTTTAAAATTGAACAATTAAATAGCACTCAATTTTCAATTAAGTTTCAACTCATTCTGTTTACTTTTGTCTGCCAGCTTAAAAGGTGTTTCTCAAAGTGAGTTCTGTAGAATCTTAAGATTCTGCAAAGGGATGAAAATGTATAATGACAGATGTGGTCCTAAATTTGTATGTATGACATTCAAATCTATTCAGATACTGATGCATGAACAATCCATTGCTTCCTCATTACAGAAGCTTTTTAAAAGACAATTGCTGATATTTCTATTTTTGATTTATTTTATCTACTAACAAAGTGTATTTTTAAGGTTAAGGTACCAGAAATTACCACCAAAACTATGCTACAATGCTGTAGCTTAGTTTTGGTGGGGATAAGATATGAGCAAGCACACATCTTATCCCCACCACTTATCAAGCACTCACATCCACAGAAAATTTTTCAGGGGTGCAAATCTTGGGGATAAAAATTTATTGGTGTAATTATTTATTTATTTATTTAATTTTTTGGATTTTTCACGAGTAGATTACAGAATATAATATTGCACCAATACAAAAAGAGAAAGTGTCACATGGTTGAGGGTGTAAGGTTACATATCTCAATCACTTTTATGATTATAATTTGTTGAATTTTTTATTCGATTCCAGGGAGGAGCAAATGTCTCATTTGTTCCCTCTTCAGATGCACGTGTGAGCAAGTAGGGGCTTCTTAGGTTCTTTGTCTCTCTTAGAATTGTGTGTGTTAAAATACATTTTATAATCAGTGTTTCTCAACATATCTCCCATTTGTTAGTGGATTTTATTCTGAAGATGAAAATGAAGATACAGTAGAGCATCGATTATCCTTCCATTCTAGTCAGCAAATTTCAAATGTCCACTAGTGATGTGGCACTACAATATTTGGCTATGTCTTGGCTACTTTAATATTATTTTTGTTAAATTTTTGCGTGTTTTAGCTGGCATCAATGGCTCGACCATTGAAGGGATGCCAGTATTTAAACAAGACTTAATTTTCTAATTATGAGTGGTTGTTTCGTGAGCAATAAAATCATTTAAAAATCATTTTTAATGATACAATAGCGACGATTATTATTTAATAAAAAAAAAAGTTATTAGGCTAAACATCAATGAAAATTCAATGCGAAGTTGGTTAATAGCGATATACTAATAAACTAATTACATGGGATATACTAATATCCTAATATACTATACTAATAATGTATTTTTTTCCTTCTTTTCGGTTATCCGACCAACTTGAGTCTCCAATTGAGTCGGATAATCAATGCTCTACTGTATTAATATACAATGTGATTCCAGTTTCCAAATGATTCTTTTAAATTAATTAAAATTAGCAAGGAAAGCAGGATGTAATCTCATAATTTAATGCAACCAAATCTATACGTTCTTAGCCTAAAACTTTTGATCCTTTGGAGAGATCTGGTGTTTAATCTATTCCCCTAACAAATTAGCAATAAGACATAAAGAATTACAATGTTGGTACCACTTCTAGGAAAGTATTAATTAGAATCGATGAACATAAATAATCAACTATTTTGAAAAAAATAGAATACTTAATTAGCTATTAAAATTTTTACTTTAGTCCCATTGAGGGGGGAGAATCTTTTCTAGTTCGTGTTTATTGGAAATTATTTTAGGTGATTCTTATAAACATCTTTAAATTATTGAACAGATGCTTTTAGTATCAATCAAAAATGCACCAAGCTCTTAACTTAAAAGGCACAAAACTAACATTTATCATAAATTTGAAACAATAGAAATATATTACAAAATGCACTAAATGTTTTTCCTAGAAGAATAAATGCCTGTATATGCCAAGAGGGTAGACATTTTCAGTGTCTTATTTAAATAAATTTTGAAATGTACTTTCTTTACTATTATTTTTCTATCATGTAAAGCTTCTTGATAATTAAGCTGATAAACTTAGTTCCTTGTATAGAAACTTTTGGGTAAAAGAGAAATCAGATTTTTAACCAGAAACTGCCTGATATCTTGAAAACCATTAGGTTTAAGAAAATGTGACCATTATAAAGTGTTTATTTTGTTGCATACAATCCATATAATAGATCAAAAGCACCTGTTATAATTAAAAAAACGTTATTTTGTTCATCTCAAAAACTGCTAATTTTTAAGATCATCAAAATTTTCCCTGTATTATCCTGCTATGCTGCTAGATGTAACCTCTAGTATCACTAAGAAACTAGTCCACAAGTTATCATTGACATGAAAAGCCTTGTTTGCATTTTTGTGAAGTTATGTTCAAGCTGTTTTGCAATTGGCATTATGAGTGATTAGACATGACAAAAAATTTACAAGAAATTTTGTTTCAAACTGGAAAAGACAGCAAAAGAAAACCACCAAGTGCTAAAACAAGCATTTGGGATGAAATCACCAAATTTCCATCATGACCAAAAAAAGCACATCAATTCTGGAGCAACACAACAATGTTGATCTGTTTTTGATACCAAAGGGCTTATCCACAAGCTGAAGGGAAAGGATTTCAGACTGTAGATGAGATTATAGGATAATGCTGGATACACTGAAAAAGATGACTTTCCTGGGTGCTTCCAAGTATTAAACTTTTGCTTGGAATGATGCTTCAATGCAGCAAGAGACTGCTTTGAAGATGATGAAGTCAGTTAATTTATCATGTAATTGTAAAATTTTTAATAAATAAATTCTGAGAACTTTTGACTTGCATCATGTATAAGAAAAATTTGAGGAAAACTTCAGAAAACCTGAGTATCCCATGTAGTAGATTCTAGGTTCTAAAATTTTTCTTCAGAAAAGAAAAAAAATTCTCCAAACTTGAATGTTTCTGTTCTTTTGAAATGAATTTGATCATTCAAATTCATTTCAAAGGCATACCTTTTAATTGAACACATCTTCCATTTTCCATATGAAGCATTGTTTAAAATTCAATGACAACTTAAAAATTATTTTTTTTTTTATACAGGATTGCATAACCAACATCCAATCCTGACAGCTATTTAAATTCATGCATTCACAACAGATGTCAGTTAAAAGATTAATTTGTATAACTTCTCTCCTATTAGTTCAGAAACATAATAAAACTTTATGTGATAATTACTTGATTGTTGTTTTACATGATATAAACAAGAATATCATAACTGAATTCCATTTTAATCTGTTGTAATGTAAAGTGTTAAGTATATTTAACTGTTTTTATGAATTTTACAGGAAATCAAACAATTTCCACTTTATAAGGACATCCATAAGATAAATTTGCTGGTATGATCTAAATTAAAAAAAGTGGTACCATTCTTCAGATTTAAACTAGAAATATGTTATTACATAATATTATGGATTTGAATATTTCATAAAACAAAAAAATAATTTTTTATCATTTATTTAAATTATTAAGCAAAACAAGCTTTTCAGGTGCTAAATATTTATACATTCAATAATTAAACTTTAGTTTTCTCACTCTCATAAATTCTCTAACAGTATCATCAGTAACAGCTTGTCTTCGCTTCTGGTGTTCTGCTACCACTCTTTGGAGTATGCCAATTAATTCTTTCTTAAGGAAACCAGTTAATAACTTCCCAGATGAATATTCCTACAAAATATGCAGCAAATTAAAAATTATTCAAAATAGTTTTATTCTTTTATTTATAATCTCAAACAATAGTTTAATGTCATTGGGTTGCAATTTGAAAAAATGTACTGCTGTCTGTCCTTCTTTAATCTTGAGAATGGAGTTAGATAGATGAAAGTCGAGACCGGATATGGAAAGCTTAGGGAAAGGAGGCTCCAATTAACTGTATATGAACTTCAAGTTTGCACCAGAAGTCATGTTATTTCAATTAAAAATCTTTCCCCTGAAAGGAGTTAGATGACTGACATGACTCTAATGCTAACAGGAAAAGTATGGTGTATGGGGGCACGACACTACTAATTTGAGGTGGAAAACATATATTTTAAATTAAATAAATAAAAAATTGCAGCCCAACATTGTGATGATGTTACAATAAAATAATTGCTCTTTATATTACTAATTTCCATTTATTCTTAAGGCATCAGTAACTTCAAGAATTTTTTTTTCCAGTTTTATACATCAGTTATCAGCACTTGCTGATAACTGATGTATGAAAAAGCCTTTGAAAAAGCCAAATTATAATTTTGATATATCAAATCATTTCTTACTCTTAAGTTTCTTTCATATTTCTTACTGTTTTTATACTATTTCTTTGCTGTCTTATAACAAATATTTGCAAATAACTTTTTCTCTCCCGGATGATGATATAAAATGAAAACATAAATATTTTACTTTTAATTTTACAAACCTCTCTAATTGTTTCAAGTCTTTCATCATCTTCAAGAAAGAATCTCAAATATTGAAAAGAAATATCGACGTCACAATTTCCACCCTTTTCTGGATGTTCTTCAACAGTAGCTCCACCACCAGAAAATGCATATTTATTTATCTGGAAAAGAGGGAAAAATTTTAATACATGCTACATATTTTTATTTTGCCTAAATAATTTTACAATTGTTTAAAAAAAAAAATATTACCTTATTTTTAATTTGATTAGGAGTGTCAGTAAGAAAGATTGAACTATTCGGATCACTTGCACTCATTTTAGTCTGTGCGCCTTGAAGAGCAGGAATAAATACAGAGTGTATCAATGCAGGCTTTAGATAGCCCAATTTAGGGGCAACATCACGGGTCATTCTAAAATATGGATCCTATAAAACATTCATATATTAACTATCAAATAAACTTATAATTTTACTATCTTACAAAGACAATTAAAATAAATGCTCCAATATAAAATTATATCACATTACAATTTATTTTATGAATATGGTAATAATTCATTATAATTCTAGGATTATAATGTAAAATGACAGTCAACATTTACTAACCTGATCAATAGCACATGGAATGAGACAATTAATATCTTTTCTTCCATTAAAAATAAATGAAAATGAAGTAGAGAAAGAAGGAGCTGCTTGTATGGCAGGAAAACTTATTTTCCCTATACAGTCACTATCTCCAAATCCAAAAATTCCTTTCACTTGATTGAAAGTAACATTTCTTTGAACTTTGACAATATTCTTATAAAAATCATGACATTGGCTAAAAATAATTTAACCACTTTTAATCTTTAATATATTAACTTTTACAATGGCTGTTTAAAAATAATAATATTTGAGATTAATTGTGACTATAAGCATTATAAACAAACTAAAATTTAAATCCTATACCAATAAATATTCAAATAGTAATTTATCTGTTTATAAATTAATCTTATATTTATATGTGAACATTATATATATATATTATATGCAATATGATCAAGAAATTCAATAAATATTTCAATTGTTGTAACAATAAAATCAAAGCTATTATACAGAGCGGTTCTAAATACATGCAAAAAATTTCGGGCTGATTCTTCAAATAATTTCAACTATAAAAGTACTGTACCTATGATCATAAATTCAATACAGCACAGTTTTAAAGTTATAGAATGTTTAATATATGGTCTCAGTGAAAAAATTTGACACACCCGATATTTGTTAATGCTTACACAAATTAATACAGTGGAGCAGTGGTTCTCAACCTTTTTTGATGATGTACCCTATTAGCCCATTAGTTGTTTCTCAAGTACCCCTTATATTCTTGTATGTAAATTTTATAATTACTGCGTTAGATATATACAACCCTTATAACTGAGCGCCATAAAAAAACTAACTAACTAACTATAACTAAAAGTGAATTACTTAGTTTACGTAAATAATAATAAATTTAATCAGGTACATACATTTATTTATTATTATTTGATAAGTATATTATATAAAATCACAGAAGTCATTTTAATACATGCATAAATTATATTTCCTAAAAATAAATAATTATAATTAACAATAAAGAAAATTTAAATTCTACAATAATTTCTAACAAAATTTAATGAGATATTTGGTTCCCACATTGTTAAATAGAGATTATAATTGTGTACTGACCTTGAAAGTAATGGCTGCAAATTTATAACGTGCAGAACAATACTTGAATCTTTCAAGTTTTGTAACAAACATAACATCTAAATTTGCTAAATATCAAGTAATGCGCGCATGCAGTGACACGCATTGCATGATGAGGATCCATTGCATGATCCAGGCCTCATTATTCCTAATACCAGTAGTCCAGTAAAAACACAAAAAGCCCCAATCTTATCAATCAATAATTATAGAATAGAAAAATAATTTTTTTTTCTATTCTAAAATTAATGCTCGGTTAAATCATAATTTTACTAGACTACAGGTTCACTTGGCACTAACGGCACAAATAGACAAGCAAATCAAGTGGATAAACAAGTTGTTTAGACTGTTAAAAGGGAAATCAGTGTTCACACTGGGATATTTTAAAGCAAATTTTTATCGTTTCTTGTTCCTTGTGTTAATAATTTACAGCAAATTGATTAACATATGCCATTTTATAATGAAAGTTAGATGTACCCCTTCGATTTATGCTCGTACCCGCAGTTGAGAACCACTGCAGTAGAGGATAGAATCCTGTATTGCTGTTGACAGTGGTAATTTTCAACAGTAATTACAACTATGGTGTTTTCAACATATGTTCATATGCATTTTTCAGGAGCTGATTTATTGAATTGGTTCTGCAAGCCTATGTTTTACTACAAATTTCTTAATCATCATATTTGAATAAAGCCATGAATTGTTATGTAGCAAAAACACTTTTTTCTGGAACTGAAACATGTTTCTAATTTTAATTCTTTTAACTAAGCAATCCATGCATACTTTATATCATTATTGATAGTCTCATTTGATGGAACAAATTCCTTATGTATGATTTCAACAATTTCCATTTGAACTATTATCATTCATTAGTATATTCAGATAAAGTAAAATTTTACCAATCATGTAACATGTAAATGCTATGGAACACATTTGCTTTATCAGTTCCTAGGATTTAGTACTTTTGTCTAACTTGCAATGAAATTTAATGTTTGTAACTTTGTCATATTTTGTATGTCTCATGCCATTTTACAACTTTAAAATTAGATTTAATGTTTACTAATTTGTAACAACATTAATCAATCTAAATAAAAAAATCATATGAGCTTAAAAAATTTGTTAAATGATGTCATCAATCTGTATTTATCATCATGAATTTCATATCAACATTAAATACACATAGATTAGAAGAATAACTTTAGATATTCTAATATATATATATATTTTAGGATATCTAAAGTTTTCTAATCTATGTGTACTTAATAATGATATACACATAGACTTTAAAAGCAATTAAATATAATTTACATTACATAAAAGTATACATTACACTGTCTCCTATACTAGTGTTTTTGTTACTCTGTACATTTAAAAGGTGTTTCTCAAAGTGAG